TGGCCAACCAGATGGGGGGTGGATATGAGTCTTCAAATATAAGCCATCTGAAATATTGTGAACCTGACCTGAGGGTCACATCAGTTATAACAGATTTTAACAATTTGCCAGACAGATTTAAAGACTTTCTCTTATATTTGAGATGTTGAAATTATTCACTTGATTATAGATCAGCCAAATAAATGTGTAAAGAAACCCTTCTTATGGCTAGCTATTAAGTCCCTCACTCCACATTTCACTGGAAGACAAGCAATTCGGGAATCCTGGGGCAGAGAAACCCATGTGGGGAACAAGACAGTGGTGCATGTCTTCTTGCTGGGCCAGACCCCCCCAGAGGACAACCATCCAGACCTTTCAGATATGCTGAAATTTGAGAGTGAGAAGCACCAAGACATTCTTATGTGGAACTACAGAGACACTTTCTTCAACTTGCTTCTGAAGGAAGTGCTGTTTCTCAGGTGGGTGAGTACTTCCTGCCCAGACACTGAGTTCATTTTCACGGGCGATGACAATGTTTTTGTGAACACCCATTACATCCTGAATTACTTGAATAGCTTGTCCAAGAGCAAAGTTGAAGATTTGTTTATAGGTGATGTGATCCACAATGCTGGGCCCCATCAAGATTATAAACTGAAGTACTACATCCTGGAAGTTGTTTACTCTGGGGTTTACCCACCTTATGCAGGGGGAGGTGGATTCCTCTACTCTGGCCACTTGGCCCTGAGGCTGTACAACATCACTGACCGGGTTCATCTCTATCCCATTGATGATGTTTATACTGGAATGTGCCTTCAGAAACTCGCCCTCATTCCAGAGAAACACAAAGGCTTCAGGACATTTGATTTTGAGGAGAAAAACAGGAATAATATTTGTTCCTATGTAGATTTGATTTTAATACATAATAGAAAACCTCAGGAGATGACTGATATTTGGTCAAGGTTGCAAAGTGCTCATTTAAAATGCTAAACTATATACAAGCTAAATTTTGCATAGAAAGGCATATCTGGATTAGTTATCAAATTGTATTTTCACTGTAGGTAATTTGTATGTTAAGCCATCAGAATTGCCTTTATAAGTAGTATCCATTTGAGGGCCTCCAAGCCCTTCAATTTGGTACTTTTGTGACAAGGGAAAGGAGATGACAATTTTTTTATGGAGAATGTGACAGGGTGATTGGTTCTTATTCTTTCTACTGGCTAATGGTCTTTATTTTCTAATTTGTCCCCTTTCCTCTGAGTCATGTTTTTAGAATTTGACCACTGTAAGTTATTTTTGTTTTGCTCTTCTATATGAGAATATTCTTACTTCCATTATAATGACTGATATATCTGTAATTCAGGTATATTGAACTTATTTGCTACGAAGATCTTGTTGTTCATATCTCAATGGTTTTTGTGAAATGGAATTATGTTATTTTCATAAGATGTGGATGAATTTTGTTTTTTCTTGTTTGTTTTGTTTTTGTTTTGTTTTTTTGAGACAGAGTCTCACTATGTAGTCCAGACTGGCCTTGAACTTCCTATGTAGTTGAGGATGGCCTTGAAGTCATGGCCATCCTCCCAAATGCTGGGATTACAGGCATGTGCCATGACACCCAGCTGAAATGTGGATGAATTTTAAAAATTGTTTAGAAAATGGACTATATCTAAGTTTCCTGCCACCCCATCAGTATTTTCTTATGTTAATTAATTACTTAATTGTATAAAATAAGAGTCACTGTACGACATAAAAAAAAGACTACATCTGAACAAGATGCACCCACTCTCTTTGTTCAGGGAGAACTTGAATCTTCTATCATTTTCTGGGTGCATGTAAAGAATCTTGATATAGAAGACATAAAATTTTTTATATAAGGCAAATCTAGTTTGGATAAGTGCCAATTTAAGCAAAGTGACTTAAATTGAGTAAACAAACTTTAAAAATCTTGATAAATACTCTTACCTAAGAAATGTCTATAACCTACTGGGCATAAAAATAAATATTGAAGAATTAAAATAACTAAAAAATACAAATGTACCAAAGGAGAAATTTATGAAATTTGATATTACTTGAAACATTTGCTTCATGCACAAAGGAAAAAAGTTTTGCAGAGGTTTTAGCTAAATAATACTTATCTAGTCATTGGGTTTAACAAAAAAGGTGCGAAATCCTAACTTCCTCTCTTCCTAGAAAGTTAAAATTGCTCAGAGGAAATTAAGAATATGAGAGACATGAAACACAAAACAATTCATTGAAAATAAAATGAGTTGTTCTTTTGAAAATTAGATTGTGAATGTGGCAAAAAAATTCAAAAAATTGTGGGATAATTACAGGGATTCGTTCTCTTCAGTAGCAAGTTCATAGGAAAACCCTGATTGCACAGAAAATATTACAATCAACAACTGAGACAATATTGTATTACAAAGCTTTTACACAGCAAAAGAAACAACCAACAGAATGAAGAGACAACTCTCTGTGTGGGAAAAAAACATTACCATCTATTCTTCAGACAAAGGACTACTGTCTAGAATATATAAAGAACTCAAAAAAATCAGATCCTTAAAATTTGAAGACTCTATCCAAAAATGGATATCTGAAATGAATAGACACTTCTCAAATGCAGAAGTACAAACAGCAAATAAATATATAAAAAAGTGATTGACATCACTCGCCATTCCTGAATTGCAAATTAAAACAACACTGATACTCCATCTCACTCCAAATGGAATGGCTATCATCAAGAAATCAATAATAATAAATATTGGTGACACTGTGGGGAAATGGAACCTGGCTTCAACTTTGGTGAGAGTGTAAATTGGTACAACCATTATGGAAAAAAGTATGAAA